TTTTTTTAAAAAAGAAAGAAAGAAATGCCTGGGACTGTGGCAGGCCCACCAAATATTTTTTGTTTCAAGTATCACCACAGCTAAGTCAGGCTCTCAGGGGCCACAGGTTTTCCATGATGTGGCTTCAACCCAGATTCTGGAATCCTGCCCTGTGAACCTGCATTTGTACTCAGCTCTCAAAGTGGTTCTGGTGCCAGGAGTCACAGGCAGCCCTGTGAAAATTAAGGGGCCCACCTAACCTCTGGTCCACCATTCCCATCTGACAGCCTGCCACAGACAGTGCTGCTGTCATAACATTACCTGGGGAAACAGCCTACAAACGGTTTCCCAGGAGAGACTGCCCCCACATACCTCAGCCCACCCCCAATCTGATGTTCACGGGATGGTGTCTCACTCATTTGCCCAACAGTCCATCTTAGGGGCTGCTGGCTTTGTGCTGAGCAAAGAATGGAGCAGGCAAAGCCTTCCACCTGGAGATTATGTTCCTTAGAAGAGGCTACCAGGAGCAATGAGATGGTGACAGGAAGATGCATGCTGTAGCAAAAGAGAGGGAAGCTGTAGTCGCTTGACTGATGTGACCTCACTGCACATTGGCATGTGGCCACATCCTTGAGGCAGGTGAGAAAGCTTACCCTCCCAAGCTACGTTAGCAAGAGGAAGAGACTGCATAAAACTTGAGCCAAGGTAGCGTGAGCCTCCTTGCTGAGAAGCTTTGGGAGCCACTGAGCCCACGGGTTCCTAAACTGCCTTTTCAGGAAGGCTTCTGATGCAGAGTCTCGGGATTCAGTGCCTATAACATGCTTCCAGATGAAGATGCTGACCTACCAGGATTGTACTACTGCCTTGGGCCATGCCCCTGACCTCAGCACTTCAGCTAGGTAAGGAGTTGAGGAACACATAGAAGTCTTGCTCAACTGGAATAAAGAAGATGGTCTCACAGCTGCCCTACATGAAGAGTGCCACATCCGGGGCTTTGCCAGAGCACTTGTGTGGGTTTTTCTTATCAAACAACAGTGATAATAGATGAGACAGCATGCACACAAGATTGTGCACCAGCCACAATGATTGACAGATATTAACATATAAATAATATTTAATCCAAAATGTTTTATGTGCATTCACTTATATTTCTTCACCATCATCCAGAGAGAGGTAGTAATCTATATTTGCATTTGCCAATGTAGCACTGAGAGATTAAGTAACCTGCCTAAGGCCGCACAGCTAGTCAGTAGCAGAGCTGGGACTTGAGGAGTAGACACAGCTGCTGAAGGTACTTTGTAGAGCGGAATGAGTAGGTAATAAACTTGGCTTCTCTGTGGCCATCTACCTGTTCATAACATGTTTACTTTCTGCAACTGTTGAGGTATCTTCCCCAAACTTCTAAGGTCCCATTTATTAGCAAGTTGATGTACGTGTGCCTTACATGCAGCCCAGTTTGTTTCTAGACTTACCAAATGGGATCATCACATTGCACTTTTTCAAGATTAGAACATAGTATTATATCTTTTTTTTAGAGTCTGTGGCTACAAGTTTCCATGGCCTATATTTCTACTCATGTGCCCAGGCAGGAGGTTGAGTAGGAGGTAGTCTTTGTGTGTGAATCCCCAAAGAGGAAGGGGCTTTCACCTATTCCCTCTGAGATGCAGCTT